GATTACTACTTCGTGCGATGCAGACACATTTTTTGAGACGTGCGTTTACAAGTTAGAACAGGCACATGCAGGCATGTGACCAAGTAAAGACCCAGCATTACTGTCTGCCTTAAAAATCAGGTAGGGGGGCTGCTTCCAGAAACAACATTAAGACTGTGAGCACAGGAAAGAGCGCTGGCTGATTCTGTCAAAATGTGCCTGGATTTTGAGCCATGACAATTTATTAACCAGTAGCGAGATACCTGTTTCAGTGCTAAATAACCACACGGGCTCTGTGCTGAGATTTGAATGTGTTTGAATCTGGTAGTAGGCTGTACAGCAAAAAACAGTTCAACTGTCATGTGCATTGAAGATTGCTTTGCCCCAATTTTTACATGACAGGCACATTAAACTTCTTTCCTGCATTAGTAGGTGCACCAATAGGCTGCAGCTGATATTTCGGTCTGAAGAGTCAGAAAGCAAAGGCAGCACAGCGCTGCACTGCAAATTCATTAATTCCCAAAGCCACAGCAGGAGACAGGGAGATGGGAATTAACCACAGCAGATGGAGACATAAAGCTTGCTTAAGTCCCCTTCACCCTCAACAGGCTCCAACAGGCTCCGTTTCTCTTCCCCCCTCCCTGGTATACCCTCAACAAAGCCTGTAACAATCACCAAAAAAGGAAATTCCTGAGCTTGTTGCTTAACTGGGCTGTAAAATATAACACTCAACATAATCCCAAGAAGAGACTGGAACTGAGTTTCATTTTGGGGTTATTTTTCAGGCAATGTTGGGGAAAAAAACCCCACATTTTGATTTACTATTTAGAGTGTCATAGAAATCAGAATGGAAGAAATATGTTCTAGCACAGGATAGAGCAACGCTGTTCTCAGACCATGCATGAAAATGGGGCTTGTATTTACTGTGCTTGGACAATGCTTGGATTCAAATTCCTCTAAAATAACTTCGCATACTGCAACAGCACACACTGCTGCTGAATTAACAGAACAGGGATGCCTGATAATGAAACATGCCGATTTACCTAATGTTAGTTATGAAGAAAAGCAAAATAAACTTAGCTAAAGCAATACATTAAGATGATGTGTCTTTGAGGCAGAGGATTCCCCGTCTGCTGAAGGGGTGTCTGGGTGCATTCCCTCAATGTGGAGATGCGGTAGGAATTGTGCTGTATGATCAGTGGTGGGTTTGTACGGGACAGTATCCTTGTTTCAGAAAAGAGCTGAAATGTAGCAGGAAGCAAATTGTTGAGTGCTATGCATGACACTCATCATCGTCCTCAATTTCTCATTTGGAAACTCTGCCATCCATGGGTCTTCTGAGAACCAGCCATGGTACCCAGAACAAAACTGAAACTCTTTTTCCTTCTTTCATTAGTCTTTATATCCTCTCTGTCTTGGCCACGACATACAGACTGGGAAAATGACTGAAGATCACAGAGATCATGTAAAAAACAAGCGCTTGGCCCCTCACTGTTTTCTGCTTTTTGAAGTCACAGCATTTCTCATCTTTGCTGCACAGTTCACTGGGTGCAAGGCAGCAGAGAATCAAGATCAGCTCCAGTTAAAAGAATGTAAAATCAAAGTCTGGAAAGTCCAAAAACCCCAAAGATGCGTTAGTACCTCCTACCACATGGGCTTTCTCGTGCATCTCTGGAGGCGGTGCCTTTCATTCCTTGCCTGCTTTTCAGGGTATGACGTAACAAGATGATTTGAGACAAAGTAAGATCTCGCTGCCACAGAAACAAGGAGAACCATTCCCCTCGCCATCTCCCCAGCCTTTTCCCTTCCTTCTGCCTATGCATCTGATGCTCACTGGATAGACAGCAGTGAGTGGACTTAACTCACCTCACCAGAAGAGCTAAAAACTTAATCCATAAAATTTACAATCATGTTTTCTGTGGGGTTTGCAGCTGCATCAGTTTACTTTGCAATCCAATGCCTGATGGTGATTGTATGAAGTAGTGAGAAAAAAGGATTGTACAGCCAGAAGTGGGGGGCTGGGGGAGCAGTGAAGGAAGAAAGGGGAGCAGGACCAGAGGAAAGAGTCGGGGAGGAGGCTGAAGGAACGAGAACTCCCTTTCTAAAACAGAAAATTGTTTAGTTGCAGCACGGAACTGCACCCTTCCCTGTATTTGAAAACCATGCTCTGAGTTCCATATTTATGTGCCTTGATAAGATCTGCATCTCTATCCTGGAATACTTTAGCTTCTTCCAAATTATTGTTTGTATGTGTTGAAGTAGTACTTAGAAATAACTACTATGTTAAAAAAAAAAAAAAAAAAAGAAAAAAAAAAGATAAGCTATCTCAGATTCCCCTGGCTGATAGTACGTGACTTTCTGCTCCGAACTGTTTAGGTTCTCAACTGACAAGACCTTTAGCTGATGACAGAAACAATGTGGTAAAGTATGAATGATTTTATGAATGAAGATTAAAGGTCTCTTAAATCTTCCTGCTGATGCCAAAGGACCTTGTGGCTTAATGTGGAGAGTTTGAATGATTGGTTTGTGTCAAACAGCAAGCCTGTGGCGTGGGAGACTACCGGAGCGCCAGGTCAATGCCTGCACCCAAAGCACTCCTTCCAAGTTCCATAGCTATGGTAGGAAAGTGGCCACTGGTGGCACCCTTTTTAAACTTCCTTCTTTAACTTGTTTTTTTAAAAAAATCTCGATTGTCAAAATAATTAAAGCATACCATATTTTAGACTCAAATTATCTTTTGTGCTTTCCAGTTTTCTTAAAGGTGGCTCTAACTCTCAGATCCTGCACTAGCACAACTCCTATGTTTCAGAGGGATGGTTAACCCCGGTCCAGTGCTGAAATGCTGAAAAGCGAACACAACCTGGACAAACCACCTTATACCCTGTTAACGTTTCTTCTGCATCGTCCTTCCCGCCGTGGCTGCCCATTGGGAGAGTTCTGCACAAAGAATAAGAGCTTTCTGTACCCAGGCTCCTGGGTCTGAGCAATCCATTCACACTCGTGACATTTCAGCCCACATGGATGTGTTTCTGAAAAGAACACTGGATGAATTCACATCTTGGGAATTCACATCCTTAACGTAAGGACCTTTGTTTCACTTTTTAAAGTAGAAGTAATGGCATCAAGGGCAGAAAATGTGAAGATACCACTTCAGATATCAGATGACATTGAATCTGGCAGTCTAAAGACTATTGACAAATACAGATTGAGTCCTGATCAATTTATTGTCAGTATTGTCAGTCAAATAGCAAGAATACTGCAAGGCCTAGTTACTTTAAAAAAAATTTAGTAAAATCCTTGAGTCTTTATAAGAAACCTTAATATAGGCCATAGCCATATATACATATACATGGATAAATACAAAAGTATCATCACATTGATGACATCAATCTGTGTGAATCAGAAAAAAGGACAAACCTTTAACTCAGACTAAATAATGAAGAGATATGAGACTACGAAACAAGGGAGCAATTAGCCAGCAACATCACGTGAAATGTGTAAATACTGTGCAGCGCTACCTGAGAATAAAAGCATCAAACTTGGTAATGGGCCTTCCTTTCTTCTATGTGGCAGATACTCCCCAAATCATCTAAGAATAAATATCTCAAAGGGGGTTGTTTCCTCCCTAATATATTTTGCTTACAAATAAAACCAGATCAGTGTATTTTGCAGCCCGGGTTGTGCTCATTGTCAGCGGCACAGTGTTGTTTGGAATATTTAAAAATTCAGACAGTCAGTAAAATGTGAGCTGTAAATGGCTTTCAGGGTTTCTAGTGAAATAAACCTAACTATTCTGGAGTTTCTTTGCATTGTTTTAGAAAGAATTAAGAAGATACAAGGTAATTATCATTCAAGGGAAACTTTTTTTTCGGTGAAATGATTAGTCTTGAGAAGTGAATCTGTAAATGAAAGTGCATGTGCAGGCAAGGGGTCCCTGTCAGACAAAGGCCACTGCTGCCATCTGCTGAGGAAGAGAGAAAATGGGACACAAATGGCCAGCATCAGACACCTTTTCTGCCGGCCATTTGAGGCTGAAATCCCTGCCGAGGGGACGCCAGCAAACCCAGCTCCCCAGGATCCACACGGTGAAAAATCCACCCTTTTTTCTTCAACTCCTAAAACAAAGCAAAGCTACGGAGCCCAGCTGTTTGCTATAGTCTTTATGAGATCAGGTTTAGTGTATTCAGTCCAAGGAACGATGCGATCACTTCCCAGGGCAATGCATTCATTTCATGACCCAAGGATAATCCTGGTATTTCTGGTGCATGGGAGCACTGCACACTGCATCATCACCACGTACTCAGTGGTCACTGCATAACTCAGCGTTCAACATGCAAGAATCGTTTTAGCAGATCCCGTTCTAAATACATTCCTTCAAAGCAGTCCGTGCTTCCTAGCAGCAGGGAGACACCGACCCCAAGGCCTCTCTCCCAGCGCCATCTCAGCTCAGTGGGGAAGGCTCCCCGGGGACCCTCGGGCCTGCAAAGGCCAGGCCGGCTGCTCCCCCCGCGACAGGCCCTCTGGCCGCCTCAGGGATGGCTTACTGCTGAGGGAGCCCCGCATCCCTTGAACACCGCCCCGCCTGGGCCGTGTGCTGCCACGGCCGGGGACAGGGCAGCGCCTTGAGGGTGCCATGTCGGGACAACACCCGCAACGCT